AAGCGTCGTGGTGCCGATGGGCGCGGACGGCGTGTAGGTGTGGTTGTAGACCTGCGAGGCGCAGTGTGGAGGGGCTGCGAGGCGGGTGTTTGGGGCAGCGTTTGGACGCGGGATCGCACCATCTCCTCGACGTGGTCCAGCGTCGCCTCGATGCTCTCGAGGTCCTCGGAGGAGGTGGCGCTGGAGCTGCTGCCGAAGGCCGCGGCGCCGACGGCGAGCGCGAGGATCGCCGCATGCTGTACATCGCGCGGGCAAGTTTTGCTTGCGCGCTTGGAATTTTAGCTGCGTAAATTGATGTTCAAGATGCAAAGGATAACCTTGATGTAATAAAGTGATGCTCAAGCGAAGAGATGCCGCTTGTGCTTCAGCGGTCGCGCTCGGCGAGATGCTCGAACCCGGGGCTATGATGGGCTGCAAGAAGTCGCGACGGATGGGGCTGCGATGGACGTCGCCTCTGCTGCTCCTCGGCCTCCTCGGCACGGCCGTCGCACAAAAGCACTGCCAAAAGCCCTAGACGAAGAGCGAGCTCCGCGAAGGCGTCACCTTCGCCTTCGCGAGTCCCATCGCGCGCGTCCCGCTCGTCGCGGCGGACTCCTAGGAACACAGGATGGGCAGCTGAAGTCGGTGGCCGACATGCTAGATCTAAAGTCTGTCTCGACCCCCGGCGCAATGGGTAGCCCTCTCACGCGCCGGCGCCCGCCGGCGGCGCAGCGCACGAACGAGGCGCGCCTCGCGAAAGACGCCGCCGCAACCGCCGCCGCGCCGCCGCCGCCGCGCGATCGCTTCGCGCTCGACGCGCGGTCCCTCGCCGCCTTCCGCGCCTTGCTCGCCCTCGCGCACCTGCGGCTGCTCGTCGACGCGTGGCCCTCCGTCGAGGCGCTGGCGTCGGGCGCCGGCGTCTTCGACGACGCGACGCTCCACGCGCACGCCGCGTCCTGGGCCGCGGCGCCGCTGCGGTACCGGCGCGACGGCGCGTGGGCGCTCGCGTGGCACGCCTTCGCCGTCGCCGCGACGCTTTTACTCTTCGCGGGCGCGTGCACGGGGCCCGCGACGGCCGCGACGTGGTACGCCGTCGTGGCGCGCGCCGCCCACCGACCGGCGACGCACGCGGGGCCCACGGGGTTGCTCGGCGCGTTCTTGTTCTGGGGCTGCTTCCTACCGCTCGGCCGCCGCTGGTCCGTCGACGCGTGGCTCCGCCGGAGCTGCGAGACCGACGCCGTGGCCGGCGCGGGCGCCCTCGCGCTGCGGGCTCAGGTCGCCGCGCTCTACGGCTGCAGCGCCTTCGTCAAGTGCTTCGCGGCGGACAGCGACTGGCGTGACGGGCGCGCCGTCGCGGCCGCGCTCCGCTGCCGCGCGACCTACGCGACGGCC